ACATAGGTGTATCTTGTCCTCTGTATATCACACCAAGGAGTGCTTGGTGCTGTTTAGAAATTTTGCCCATTTTAAAAACTGCAGTGTTTAGCTTTATTCATTGATTTTTAAGAGTTCTTTGTATGGTAAAGATACTGCCCATTTGCTTTTGATAGATAATGCAAATATTGTTTGTCTGCATTCTTTTGAACTTGTTTCTGGTATATTTCTCTATAAGGTTCTTTTTTCTTTCTTTTGTTGCATCTTACCTAATAGAAAGGTCCCTTAAAAACCCTGATTGACTGTTTTATATGTAAGATAGGGCTTATAATAGACGAACACTTGGTGTTTGGGTTTTCTCAATAGGTGTATATAGGTAGAGACTGTGAGGGCTTATAATAGACAGGAGCCCTTGGTGTTTGGTGTAACATGAGGGCCGGCTTGTTGGGGTATCTGTTCCCGCCCAGTACCCCACAGCTGGCAAGTCCCAGGGAAAATCAATCACACAGAGATCTCTATAAGTTATAAAGCTGATTGGCCCATTAGCTCAGGTTTCTTGTTAACTCTTATAGCTTATATTAACCCATTATTCTCATCCATGTTAGCCATATGGCTTGGTGCCTTTTTCAGTTGTCAGCTACATGTTGCTGCTTCGGTGGTCTGCGCAGGAGTGGCAGAGGGAGCTTCCTGCTTTCCAAAATATTCCTGTTCTCATCGCCCCGCCTCTACTTCCTGTCTGGTTGACCCACCTATACTTCCTGCCTGGCCACTCAGCGTTTTATTAAAATACATGATTGACAGAATACAGACAATTCTCCCACACCAGTTTGAGTTTTCTCAATAGGTGTATATATAGGTAGAGGCTGTGAAGAGAGGATTCTTTTTCTTTATCCCTGTTCTCTTCTTTTTTTTTCCACTGACCTAATTTGGTCTTCTGTCGCTGGGACAAACTCTGCAACCAGAGTAAAGGGAGTAAAGGGTTTGTCTCAATGCATAGACTACAGTCCGTTGTTTAAGGAAACTGAGGCAGAATCTCAAAAGTAGGAGCTTGAAGTAGAAACCTCAGAGGAATGCTGCACCTGGGCTTGCTCGGCTGCCTTCCTTATTCCTGCCCAGTGAGGAACAGGCCAGTCTGATGTGAGCAGGTTCTTCAGCCGAGGCTCCCTTTGAACTGGGAACTAGGTTGGCAGGTGAAGCTAACTCTGACACCCACAGCCTAGTAGAAATATTTGAGTTCTTTCTCCATAGTAACCCCCCCCCCACACACACACACACACACTGTGTTGTGGTGCAGAGCAGTCAGTGTTCTGGGCTCACTGGCTGTGCTCCCTACCCGGATGTGAGGCACTTGCTCCAAGGAGCTCTTTCTGGTGTAGAAGTGACTCAGAAACCTCGGGTTTTCAGATGTTGCTTGGTGCTGTATGCCTTGAATTGAACCCTGAAAGCTTGCAGCAATAAAGTTTAGCCTTGTGAATTACTATTAGGAAAGTCATGGGACGTCCTTGTCCTCCATCTTGGCCTTTGAGGATTAGGAAGTGAGACTTTGCTGTCTTCATAGCACTGAAGACACTGTTTTAGCAATCTTGTCAACTCTCTCATGGACTTTCTTACTCTTGCTGCAGACTTATATTGAGTTCATTTCTCCTTTTTGAAGTTTTATTCACTCTCAGTTTAGGGAATTTTGAGAAGTGGAAAGAAACAAGTACCACCAGTGCTCTTAACTGCTGAGCCATCTATCTCTCCAGCTCCAATAAATAAAGTTTTTTTAGTTTTTGTTTTTTTCAGACTGTTTCACTTAGGGAAACAGAATTTTTGAATGAACAGTAAGGGAACTCTTTCCTGCTGTCTTTATATTAGTTTTGTAGGAGCTATGATTCTAGTCTAACTTGTCAGGTGCCTGTGATTTTGCTCTCACAGTTGAGAGAAACCTGTTCTTTAAAAACAAGAACTGGTGCATTCTAGAAGTAGAAGTAGAAGGTCCCTTTCCTCACTGGCTGCTCATCTCCCAGAGTGCTTCTACTTCTGTCTACACATCTGCTCCATGACCAGAGGCCCCTTTTCCTCTCCTTGCCTTGGTTTCTGTCTTCTCAATTCAGCTTACATCTGAGCCCCCTTGAATATTCCAGACTGTGTCTTTGTAAGTGAGGTAGGTAACATTCTCCCATTTAGTGTGCTAGTTCGATTTCAGTAGAACACTTCAGTCAAATATTAGTCCACATTGAATATTACATGGAAGAATCTAGCATTTAAGTATCAAAATTAACTGCAAGTGCCTCTCTTGGTTTGTTGCTATTTTTAATTTGCGTTAGGACTTAGTATGGTGTGGCAGAAAGGCCACATTTCAGTCAGTTCTTCATTACTGTAATGAAGTACCCAAGCACGACTGATTTCATAAAGTTGCTTTAGCTCACATTTCTGGAGGCTTATGGCATCACTTTGGCACTGACAAAGGCCTCATGGTGGTTGGCACCATAGTGGCGGGTGTGGGATGAAGATGAGGTTGTGGAGGTAAAGGATTACTTTGTCAGACAAGAAACCAGGAAGCCATTAATGCTCAGGCTGAGACTTGTATAGCAGCTTGATGTTGGGAAAATTACTCTGGAATCCCATAAGAGCTGCTTTTTGTTTTTTGGAGCATCTGATCTAACAACCACATACTGGAGCCTCATTTGAAAGGATTGCATTTCCAACAAGTTGGTGATGAAGTTTGGAACATAAGAACTCTTGGTGTAAACACAAGCCATCTTCAAGTGTGCAACTGATAATGCAGGCCTCAGGAGTCTTAGATGATGATAGACCTGCTTTGCTGTTCTCAAAGCTTTTACGTTCTTTATCAGTGTGTGTTTAAAATATTGAATTGGAGAGAATAGTGCTAAGGGATTGTCATAGTTACTTTTCTCTTTTAACAGCTGTTGCTCCTTCCTCAGCATTCAGACAATTCAAAGAGAGCATAATAGCATACAGTATCAAGATTCTCTGTGTATTTTTCATCTTTACGTGGCTTTATTTTAACTTCTATTTCTTTTATTTTTACTTTTAACTTTCGGCTTTTTGAGACAGGATTTCTATGTATATTTGTCCTGGATTTCACTCTGTTGATCAGGCTGTCCTTGAACTCATAGAGATCCACTTGCCTCTGCCTCCCAAGTGCTGGGATTAAAGGTGTGTACCACCAAACCCAACTACTCTCTTTCTTTTTTATTTTAAGGGCTTTAACCTTTAGCCTGCATATATTTTTAACACACTGTAAACCATTAGACATTTCTTTGTCTTTGAATCTCTCTTTACTGTATATCTCTCTTTGTCTGAATACACGAGTCTTTAATTTACCAAGCAATATGGGTAGGATTAAAGTCATGGCCTTGACAGCTGGAGCCAGCCCATTCCGTTGCTTTCTGCCATTCTAGCCTCATGGCAGAGGTACTGGCCGGAGCCCTGTTTATTGCCACAACTCTATGGCATTTCAAGGTCCTGGCCAGCAAGCAAGCTGCAACAGTGTGTCCACAAACAACACTGGAGTACTCTCTCTGTAGCTGGACTTGCTGCCTCAAAGAATCAGGGTTTGCACTGGCAGGATGGCCCAGAGAGCCAGCATTTTGAAACGGCGCAGTTTTTTTCCTGCTATGACTGAAAACTGAAAAAAATGCGGTCAGCTTTTCATCAACACCATTTAAGTGTTTCGTGGCACGACCTCTTTAAAGAGCTGCAAGGTTTTGCAGCTAAAGCTGAGTCAGGAAGCCTCTCTTAAATGAGAGCCCTTGCTTGCCTCTAGCAAGCAGAGCAGAACCAAGAAATTGCTGCTACCAAGAAAACATGCTTTACTCTATCCATTCTTTCCCAAGCTTTCTCAGGCTTTCTGTGGATGCAGTTATCCACGTTGGGCAGCCATTCTGTAACATGAGGGCCAGGCTCGTTGGGCCTGCCTGGGTTCTGTCCCGCCCGGTCCCCCAGCCGTTTTAGTCCCAGAGAAAATCACACAGAGAGTCTGCATTAATTATAAACAGATTGGCCCACTAGATCAAGCTTTGTATTAGCTCTTATAATGAATACCAGCCCATTATTCTTATCTATGTTAGCCACATGGCTCAGTACCTTTTTCAGCGGGGCAGGTCACATCCTGCTTCTTCGTTGGTCTGGGCAGGAGTCTGGGAAGAATGGGTTTCCTCCTTCCCAGCATTCTCCTGTTCTCATTGCCCCGCCTCTACTTCCTATCTGGTTGACCCACCTATACTTCCTGTCTGGCCAATCAGCGTTTATTTAAAATATGATTGACACAATACAGACAATTCTCCTGCTGTGAAGTGGCACCATGACCAGGGCAACATAAAGAAGAAAGAGTTTATTAGGGCTTACTGTTTCAATGAGTCCATTGACCATGGTGGGGAGCCTGACAGGAGTAGGCAGGCATGGCACTGCAGCAGTAGCCAAGACCTTACATGCCAAAGCAACAGCCTCAAGGCAGAGAGCTGGCTAGGAATAGCATGGGCTTTTGCAACCTTAAAGCCCACCCTCAGCATCACACATTCTCAGTAAGGCTATACCTACTAATCCTTCTCAAACAGTTCCACCAACTGGGGACCACACATTCAAACATAAGCTTGTGGGGGACAGTTTCATTCCAGTCATCACTGGTACTGTATAGCTATAAGGAATATTATCAAATTGGTAAAGATAATTTTCACAAAGATGATCCATATAGGAAGCTATTCTAACATGAAATAACCTAGAGAAAGTGTATATTTTTGAAAAATCAGAAATGAGATAAGGGGATTTATGATGGGGCTCTCTCTTCTCATTTGTCTTGATTATTAAGATAATGGGATGATCTTCATACACTGGTTTAAGTTGCATTGATTTCTAGTCACAAATCTTTTCCCCCAAAATTGAGTTGTAATAAGTACTGTAATGTATTATTTAAGACTTAATATTGAAGTTTTAAATGCTTTTGATCCTCCATGACTTAAAAACTATAGCTTGATATTCAGAATAGTTAAATAACCTGGGTTTCTTTTATGTTTTAGGATTTAAGTGCCCGGTATGCTCAAAATTTGTACCCTCAGATGAAATGGATTTGCATCTTGTGATGTGTTTAACAAAGCCAAGAATAACCTATAATGGTAAGTCTGTGCCTTAAAATAACGTTGTAAATTAGTATTGCCGTAAATAATGTGAATTTCATGTTTGAAGCAAAATTTAAGTGGCAGGGAAGGACTCAAATTCTCATCTTAAGGTAGCTTTATATGTGTTTTAAAAATAGGTTAATTAGTTTATATCTGTTAATGAGTGAAAATTTCCAAGACATATAATGACAGGAGTGGCATTGTTTTTTGTTTCGTTTTGTTTTTTTTTTTAAAAAAAAAAACTCTTATTACCTGGCTTAATGACAGAGAATGATCATTTCTACAGTTAGGTTGTTGTTGTTTTTTTTCCTTTCTTTCTTCGTGTGTGTGTAGTAAGACACATCAGATACAGATGTCCTGGAAAATTCCAATGGAGCAGAGGAGTGAGTGGGAATGAAAAAGACAGGTGATGCTACCGTAAAAGTAGTCTTGGCTTTGTTCAGTGAAAGGGGCGGCAAACCTCCCTCACTTCTCTACTCCAGAAGATTGCTGCATTGCACTTGAGAACTGTGGTGCTGAATAAAATTTTTAGGTTAGGCCTAAAGAGAAAGTAGTGTTCATGATGACTTTGTTCAGAAAAAAAGTTGTGTTTAAGAATATATAATAAGTGAAGGACTCAGTGGTCAAGAACACTTGTTGCTCTTCTAGAGGACCCGGATTCAATTCCCAGCACCCACGTGGTAGCTCATAACTCTGGAACTCCAGATCCAGGGGCCCTAACACCCTCTCTGGCCTCTGTGGTCACTGCACACATGTGGTACACAGGCATACATACAGGTAAAGCACCTATACACATAAAAGTAATTCTTAAACAAATCTGTAATTAATGATGCATTGTTAACAGAAGGGATAAAGTTCATCCATAAATATAGTAGATAGACAACTAATGGGAGAAAACAAATGCAGGAAGTGGAGATGGAAACTTTACTGTCACCATTATCTGTCTCTTTGAACCCACAGAGAAATTTCATTCTTGCACTAATTGGCAGTTGCTTTAGGTATAGTATGTTGAACCAGGGTTTTTTCTCCTGACCCTAGTAATACAGTCTTCATTGTCGTCATAGAACAAGTAGAGTAAATTCAGGAATTAAGAATCAAATAGTTCTGGCTAATAGAAAAACAAACTTCAGTTGGATTTTGTGGTGTTTGCCTATAAATAACTTTAGCATAGCCAAGACTGATGCCACCCTGGGCTGTTTCTGTAGTAAGACCCTGGCTCTTGATGCAAAGAAATAGGTGGAGGAGCTTCGTGCCTACCTAAATGCCACTAGGAAAGAAGAAAAGACATTTGAGGCTTAGATATGAAGGGAATGGTGAGAATACTAGTAATTAGCAAAATCTGTTGGCAGACTAAGTTTAGCAACCATCTTTTGGGTCCTTACATATAAGATACTATGCTAAGTGCTATGATCCAGTGAATAAGACAGGTGGGGCTTACAGCCTCTCAAAGAGTCAATGAGATGAATATATTCTTGTGATAACTTTGTCAAGTGGTTTAGGAAGGTAGCGTCTCTAGCCTTAGTATCAACAGTGGTGACAAGCATTTCTTTCATTAACCATTATATAAGTGGAAATAGCTCCTAGCAATTACTCTGAATAGCAAATGTATTGGTTATGTCCTAACCTTTTGCCTTATAAAATTGTCTTCTTTACATAATCTAGTTGAAATTCAGTTACTTAAAATTCTCATTCAAGTTCAGAATTTGAGGCTAAAAGTGATAATTATGTTTCTGTATATGCTCCATTGTTCTGCCATTATACTTCATAATTATGTTTACTATATATGTATTCATAAATCACTGCCCTTTAATGTTAACCCCTGGCTTTTAAAAATTGCAACTACATTTCATTGAATTAAAAAGCATAATAGAAAAAAATTTTAAAAAAGCATAATAGATTTACACATAATCATAGTATTCTGTAATTTAATTTTTTAATATCCAGAACACTACAAAAATATTGTGATATTTGACAGCTTTTCATTTCCGGATTTAGCGTGTTTAGGTTATTAAACTTGTCTACTAGGCTGTCTCAAAGTCTAACTAAAAACAGTGGCTATTGTCTTGGTGAGTGCTAAGCCAGTGAGCACAGCCTGAAGATGCAGAATGGAGAGAGGCTTATAACTTGCAGCAATCAAGGGATGTACTGGGCTCTTACCAAGGCCTTGTCTTCTTGTGGTGTGGGGTCTCCTGGGCAGACTGTTTAGTATTATAAGGAACAGGTTTACTCTAGGTTGTTATAATGAATGAGTCAGAGTGACTCTGGCCTTAGTGAGTCCTCTAAATCCTCCTGTAGATTTTTAACTGGGAGCGGGGGTGACAAAACCCCTTGAAAGGTGTGTTAGCAGTGTTTTTAAAAAACAGCAGGATTCTCCTCAAGTGTTAAGAGTTTTCTCCTAATGCTTACAGTACTTGTTAGTAGTTATTGACAACAGCACACACACACATTGCTCTGCTAGTGATAAAGCTATTTTGAAAAATAACTAGGCCTGGGTCTTTCGATAAAAATTTACAGCAAGAAGCAAATATTTCATAAATTTCATGTAGTTTTCCATTTTAAAACTAGTCTGGGGGATTGTGATGACACAGAGGTGAATGAAGAAGGGATCTTTGGCTGTACATCATGATCCAGGGCTTACAGAAAAGAGGCACCTTGGTAAGTTCTTCTCTATCTCGGGTGTAGGAGGAGGAGACCACTTATTCATCCTGTCTGCCCAGAACCAAAATAACCACACGGAAACTATATTGATTAAATCACTGTTTGGCCCATTAAGTCTAACTTCTTATTGGCTAACTAGTACATATTAATTTAATCCATTTCTAGTAACCTGTGTATTGCCATGTGGCTGTGGCTTATCGGTTAACGTTCCCAGTGTCTGTCTCTGGCAGGCTACATGGCTTCTCTCTGACTCCACCTTTCTTTCTCCCAGCATTCAGTTTAGTTTTCCCTGCCTACCTAAGTTCTGCCCTGCTATAAGTCCAAAGCAGTTTCTTTGTTCATAAATGGTAATCACAGTATATATACAGAAGGAAATCCTACATCACTTGGGTTTGGGAAATTGTAATTGTGTTAAAGGAAGAGTCCCAGAATACCACTTACCACGTTGAATCTGATTGGAGGTGACCTTTTTAATGCCTGAGGATTAAGCATAGCATCTGTTATCTGTTATCACAAAGTTTAGACTAGGTGAGACAGAGGCTCTGAAGTCTTTTTGGTCACATGACTCTTTATAGCTTTGTGTTTGAATTCCTAAATGTTGACACCAACTCAACTAGATTGGGCCTCTAAATCATGTTAATGCTTAAACAAGTAAATACTCATTCAATGTGAAATACTTAATAACTTGTATCTTGTGCAAACTTCCAGAAGTAGCTCAATCTGAAAATTTGAAATTTATTTGTGAAGTATCTGTTAACTACCTATAAAAATTCAGTTAGAATTGTTGGGTTTATTTTCAGACTATTTATAGAGGAACTCTTAGAGAGGGTAAGTTCCAGACATCTGAATGTAATAACTCAGAGCTTGAGATTCATCCCACAGAGACACTACATGTTTCTATTGAGGAACCTGGTCTGTCTGCATTTGATTGGGTTCAGAGAATTGGTGTTGTTAGTGTCAAGGTTTATTCCTACTGTTGGGGTTAAGAGTGACGGTTTTCCATTCTAACTGTAGTTGGTTTTGTGGTGAGCTTTTCAGTGACTGTGACAGAAATATTGAAACAGCCAGCTAAGGTGGTTGATTTTTGACCCCTGCTTTCAGGACACATTCTTTGGTTCCATTGCTTTGGCCCTGGTTAGATAGGCGTGTGTAACAGAGGAAAGGTATTCCTCTTTCTTGGTGGCCAGAAAGGAGAGAGTCCAAGAGAAAATGGAACAGTGGTTCTTGAAAAGTGTGTATATGTTGACTCCCTGCTCACCTACATAGCACAGCGTGGGAACTGGCGCTAAGCCAGTCGACATTCAGAACCAGATCTAATACTGGCTTCATTGGGTCTTGATTTTGTGAGCATGGGTCACCTTAACGTGAATTGTTCCCAAGTGTTCTGCGTCTTCCTGAATTGCCCGTAAGCTTACTTAGGATAACCGTGACACTGTGGGGCATGCTGCTTTTTCTTACTTAGCATTAACCTGCTGAATGAGTGCTTGCTTTGAGCTTCAGTAACGGGTATGCCATTTTCTTCTCTTTTAAAACAAACAAGCTATTTATTAAATTTATTTAGATTTATTTAGGTTTATTTTTGAAACAGAATCTTTAATCCAGGTTGGCCTCAAACTTATAAACTTCTCATCTTGACCTCCTCAAGTACTGAGATTCTGAGCTTTTTCTTTTTTGTTTGTTGTTAGATTGTGTTGATAGTTTTTTTTTCTAATGGTCTAATTGAGTTGAATTAGTTTCTGATATTGCTGGGTTTTTGCCTTTGATGCTATATATTTAATAACATTACTACTGAGGTAAAGATTATCATAATCAGGCAAAGATTATGACTCGAGACTGGTCGTTTGCACTGAAGTCTGTAATTCAGGAAGTGCTACAGATTTATCAGCTATGACACATCGGTGAAACCATCCACTCTTAAAGACACGGTCATCCATCTGATCATAGTTATCACTTCCTCAATGCATTCTGGGAATTTTGTTTGAAAATAATCCTTTTCTATACCTAAGTGTGGTGGAGCAGTTATGTAATGATAGCGCCCAGAAGGTAGTGGGCAGGAGAAGGAGAACTATGGGCCAGCCTGGCTATATGAGACACTTCTTCAGCTACTCAACATAATAAGTAATATTTTTCTCTAAATTTTATATTTCATTGGTATAACATTTCATATGGTATTTTCTCACAGTTGTATTTTTCATTATAATATGTGTTTTTGTAGTTTAGGCAAGCTAAAATATTTAAATGGTATTTTCAAAGATGATAATAGTTTTAAATAAATTAATACTAAGTACTAGTTTATTTTTCATTCTCCATATTTTAATAATAAACATTTTAAGAATAAC